GAGATACTATTATGGCAGCCAACAGAGTGACTGAGATGGAGAGCTGGGAGGGGAAAAAAAAGAGGTGGAGAGAATTGGGAGGCTCACGGTCGCACTCCACACACAAAAGCACGCCCTGTTCACGTGTTGCTAAAGAAATTACCCAGACATAAGGTAAAGCGGGGCATTATGATGGCAACATTTAGCCCATGGATTCAAGAATGTGAGAGGAGAGAGAGTTAAAAGGTCATCTCAGACCGGGCTTTGCGCATTCTTCTGCTCTGACTTCACAGAGATGCAGCGACAGGCAGGATGTCCCCTCTGTCTCCAGTTTGAATTTGAATTTTTAAAAAAAAATTGTGGAAAAAAAAGCAGAAACAGAAAAGTCCAGGAGATTATAAATGGTATCTTCTCTAGATCTGTTTTGGAATCGCACTGTGACTCATAACAGTAACAACTACTGGAAAATCCAAAGCCACAACTTGGGTTTTATTTGTGCCTCTGTACGTCATTTGTGTTTTGATACACACACTCACAAGACCTGACAGTTATAAATAATTGGTGTCAAGGGGGAAAAAGAATCAAGGCAGAAGTAGGTTATGAGGTAGAAAGATCTTCACGGCAGCAAATAGGCACTTGACCAAATTCCACAGGACACCAGGAGCTGTGAGTCACCACACTGAAACTACGGGGGTTTCCCCTGACACCATTCACAGAATAGTTGGCCCGATTTTGAGAGGCCCACGTGCAATCAGTGTCATCTCTCTCCTACAATGTCAGGATGGAAGACAGCGCAACGAAACTATCAAAAAATTCTAAAGGTATTAGTCACCGAACACAACTCTACATAAAAAATTGGTTTGCATTTGTTGGAAGACCCTGACTTGTCCCAGTCATGGCCTGGTCTCTCGTTCAGCCTGTCACTCCTAATGAGGACACGTAAAAGTCAGAGTGAAAACTGAGTAGAGCCTTGTGCAGGTATCAGCTCAGAGTATTTACAGTACCACTGCAACCTGATCTTAGTGGTTGACTGATGTACCGTGGTCTGATAATGTTGGTGGTAAAGCCTGAGGTGAACGTGAGCAAAGTGAAAGCCAGTCAAGAGGGAATAAAAAATAACTAATATGGCTTGACATGACAATCAAAGCAAAGCATTCAATTCTTTATAACAATAAGACTTAGACCAATCACTGAATCAAAATCAGATTCCCGCATAAAAAACATAACATAAAACGTTGTACTTTTATGACAATTGCCGGAGAGCGAAAGTGAATATCATGCTTATCTTATGTAAGCTTTCAAGCACATCCTCTTTTTCCATGTGACAGTTCAGTTTCATGGCTCAGCTCCATTAAGAAGGGAAAGGCGGGTGTGCAGGAAGTCCAATTGCTCACTCACTCTCACTTTTCCATCCTCCATCTGCCCCCCAGCACACTGCCTTGTTCTCTCCAAACGCAGAGCCAAAAAGCCCGGGGGAGAAGAGTGGAATCGTAGCAGCAGACGGAGAGCGGTATTGATGTGCATCCTCGAGGAGGAGGAAACAGCAGCAAGAGAAGTAGCAGCAGCAGCATATACTACACATCCAAACTGAACCTGAGCCAAACCTCAGGAAAAGAGAGGGAAACAGAGAAGAAAGAACATACACGAGGATGGTTCTATCCCCAACACCTTGCAGCAAACTCTTAGTGGTACCCACTAGTAGTAAAACTTATGTAAAACACTTTTTTAAAAGGTACCCTATATTGCATTGAAGGTTTTGTTTATGGCAGACTTTAAAGAAAATGAATAATAGATTCATCACTGTACTAAAAGGCTAATTTGACATACTGGTACTAGTCTTAACAGAAATTCCCGTAAGCACCTAAATATATCTTGCTCTAACATACTGTATAACACTTATTTAAACATCTCTAACATGACTGTGTGAGATGCTAAGTGCGTTTCA